CGCGCACGCATCGACCAGAGCAAGAGCGAGATTGCGCCCATCAACGCGCTTCATCCGGCGGCAGCGCTGCACGGGACTTGCTCGGGAAGAATGTCTCCAAAGAAGTGTGTTTTTGGTTGTAGGGGGAAAGATAACTTTGTTCAGCTTCCTAAAGAACCCAACATTATGTAAACAGTGGATGCAGTTTGTTTTTCCGGAGCAGCAACGAAATTTCACAAGTGTTTGTTGAGGAACGTTTTATAAGCAAGGCCCAGTTCGATGCTGGATTAGCACATCGTTTGATACTGAAGGATGGAGCGGTCGAGCTATAAAAGATCCCGGTCATGATTCAGAACTGCAGACAGTAAGTGAAACAGCATCAAATGTCTGTTTTGTTGTCATTCGGCGCTCAAGTGCTCGTCACTCTTTAGCTTCGCCCACGGCGCGCCTCCAGGAGCTCGGCTTTTTCCGGAGAGAATCGTAAAGCTGTATCTTTCTTTTATAAATATGATAAAACTAAAGACTTTTTGGAGATATAAAGGATGCAGTACTACTCTATAGGTACTCAAGATTAACATGAGATTGGGTGAAACTGTGTGTGTTATCTCCCCTTTAAAATCCATTATTGCTACAGGTATATAACTAGAAGAAAAATAATGTGCAGTAAATGGTAGTATTATTTGCTCAACAAACCATTATGTTTTTTATTATTATAATAAATGAAAATATGAAAACAAACAACAGTTTGCAATGTCAAGCAGCATAATGGGCTCCATTTGTCCAGCTACAGTAACTGGAAGCAACAACCACTGAAAGCTTTTCACATTCAAGTTAAAAATGGCTGTGCCAACATTATGTTAAAAATATGGTGGGAAATTTTTTTTTTATTACAGTTTCACAATAATTGGTCTGTAAAAATTTATCATACATAAATTGGTCAATTTTACAGTACAGTGGTCCTTATACAAAAATACTTGACCCCAGAAATCTATAATAGCCTAATTAATTATTTCAAATTTAAAATAGAATTTTAAAAGAATTTAACCAATGTATATTGACAAGACATGTTTACCTTCCTATTAACTGTTAGTTAGGCCTAAAATGAAATATTACATAATTATGTAAAGTTCTCCAAAGTAGAATACTTACCCAAGAGCCACAAACAAGGAGTTCCATTTCTCATGCACAATGATCTTCTGTGCACTGATGGTCTTTGAGTCGTCCTCATATACTGACAGGTCATGCTTACCAACATGCACCCTGTAGTTGCGCCCAGAAATACAGGAGAGAAAATGCATGATGGTTAAAATTTAAAATCCAGTTGAAATCTATTAATGTCCTCAAGTGCACAACACTTAACACAATTAAAAATGAGTTAATGTTGTTAGTGCTGTTTAATTGAACTCTGTACCAACCAAAGATTAATATATTCGATGAACAATGGATTGGACGTTTATACCTGATGCAGTGAGCAGCAGTCATCACCCAGTTTTCAGCAATGATAGATCCTCCACAAGTGTGATACCATAAGCTACCGCTCTGATACTGCAGAGAGATCTAATCATGGGACACATAAAAAGTTCATTAAGCATACAGATACATGCTGCATTGCACTAGCAACACCAAGATCATAAATTTGATCATGGGTTTGATTGCCATGGAAGATCATCATGGGTTTGAGTCCCATGGAATGCATTAACCTATGAAATATAAACCTTGAATGATGTAAATTGCTGTGTATAAAAGTGTTTGCCAAATGCATAAATGTAATGAAGAGAGGGAAAGGGTGTAATGACAAAGTCTGGAAAGCATAACTGTGGCAGAAAGGGTGGCTATTTTTGAGACCAGAGGTAGTAACAGGAGGGAATGAGAAATAAAGGCAGACCAAATGGTGCGACGGTACATACCTGCCAGGGCCAGCTGTGGGGCCTGGCTTCCTCTCCATTGACCACACGAGAGTTGAGAGGCTCAATGGGTGGTTTTCCACACCCCAAAGGCTGCAGTAGCTGCAGTAGTAATTCAGAATACAACATTTACACCAGGTGCATATATAATAGAACAATATCTGTAATTGTTATGTTGCAGGCTTCTAAGTCTAAGTCTCCTGAGCACTTCTGTTCAGGTGTGCAGACTTCTTACCGCTAGCGATGAGCACTGATGCTAGGATGAGGGCGAACATGTTGACTCAGGTCAGCTGCCGAACACTTGTCCGGTTTTTAAACCTTCTCTATTAGTGATGTCACATTGGCCACACAAAATTATGAAAAACGTGCTGCATGAAGTGTTCCACCTGTTTGGCAAGGGAAAAAATTATCGGCTTTTGAACAGCTGCTTTCTCTGAATCCATTCACACGGCCATCATGCACAAACCTCTGTCTTCACTAATATCTACTAATTTATATATATTAACATACAGTCCTTAACAATTTAGCATTCAGTAAAAAAAAAAAAGATCTTCCTTTGGAGGGAAATAGGTTTTCAGTTTATATTTGTTGTGATATTTGATCAACTTAATTTCAAGTGAGTGGGTGTGAGGTTCCTGCCATTGGGCCGACTGCTTTTTCTTCTGGGAAATAATATTTGAAATTGTTAATAAATATTTAAAAAATTTAATAAATCACAACTAGCTAGCTAGCAGCATATACAAGATTTTGAAGTGTTTTTGAAGTAAGCCTTTTATGCTCACCCAGGCTGCATTTATTTGATCATTAATAAAGTGAAAACAGTGATTTTGTTAAATATTATTAAATAACTGTTTTCTCTTTTAATGTATTTTAAAATCTAATTTATTCTTGTGGTTGAATTACTCCAGTTGTCTCTATCACACGATCCTTCAGAAATCATTCTAAAATGCTGATTAGGTGCTCAAGAAACATTTCTTGTTATCAATGCTGAAAACAGTTGCGCTGCTTAATATTTTTGTGGAAACCATTAGATATTTTAAGTGTGTTGATGTTAAACATTTTGTTCTCTTAGTTGAACAATGAACAATGCTTCATTTTAATGTACTGTAAGTAAAACCTGTGGTCAGGTTTGAATGAGGTCAGCATATGGTAAGTTCTCAGGGAAATGAGTTTAACATTGGGTTTGACCTATGTCTACATTTACTTTTGCTTTTTGTGGGGTCAGAAAATTAGGTAAAAGAATATTGCACTATTGAATCCACTGAGCACACCTTAGATTTGATATGCTGTATGTACTTTTTATGACATAAAAGTAGTATAGTTTGATGGTTGGTTTGTCATTCATTGTTAGACTGAAAGTCAAGATATCATAAAAACGCATTTTGGCCCCAGCTTGCACAACTCTCTACTGAATAATAGAATTGATTAAAAATGAGCATGTTTTCCCTTTGAACATTTTAATGTAAAAATGCATTAAAGCACAACATATTAGTCTGGGGAAGTTGTGGCCTAATGGTTAGAGAGTCGGACTCGTAACCCAAAGGTTGCGGGTTTGAGTCTCGTACCGGCAGGGATTGTAGGTGGGGGGAGTGAATGTACAGCGCTCTCTCCCACCTTCAGTACCACGACTGAGGTGCCCTTGAGCAAGGCACCGAACCCCCAACCCCCAAGGAAATCTGTAACTTAATGTTATATGTTTTCATGATGTTGTCATTTCGGTCTGTTTTCCTTAAAATATATTCCCTATATATACACTGCCGTTCAGAGGTTTGGGATCAGTAAGAGTCTCTTATGCTCGTCAAGGCTGTATTTTATTGATCAAAAATACAGAAAAAAAACAGTAATATTGTTAAATATTACTGCAATTTCTAATATTGGTTACCTATTTTAATAGACTTTAAAATATAATTTATTTCTGTGAGGTAGCTATGAATTTTCATCAGCCATTACACCAGGCTTCAGTGTCACATGATCCTTCAGAAATCATTCTAATATGCTGATTTATTATCAGTGTTGAAACTGTTGTGCTGCTTTATTTGATTTATTTATTTATTATTATTATTATTATTTGGAACCTGTGATACTTTTTCATTCTGTGATACTTTATTTCTTTGATGAATAAAATGTTAAAAAGAACAGCATTTATTCAAAATAGAAATCTTTTCTAACAATATAAGTCTTTACTATCACTTTTTATC